ATTTTAGCATTTGCATGGTGAGTAAAAATCATGTGTGAAAAATCCATGATGACTGGCCTCTCGTCGTGAGTGATAAAAATGTTGAATTCATTGAAATCGCCATGAATCACCCCGTACAAAGCAAATTTTATTATATTGTTCATCAGTTTGTCGTAAAGAGCCTTCACGTTGTCCAGTTCTTGCACGCTTTGAAGAAGAGTGCCTGAAGAAGATGCCGTTTTAATTTTAATATCTATAGGTATAGGGTTATTGATTGAGCTTCGGCAACCTCGTTCTTACATCTAATTTGCAATTTAGAGAAAAATGTTAAAGAAAAAAGTTGTAGATATTAACGTCTAGTTTCATAATATTTTTTTAAATTGAATGCCGGTCTTTTTATTGCATATTTGAACTATTAGATCGGACTTTTAGGCCTATTAGAGAAGCCAATAGTTTTTTCAATTTTCAATTGTTTTTAAATGGCAATTATATTGTAATTAATGCTTATTGTGTTAATAACCGATATTGGTTGATCTTTGGCCACCCCGCTCTTGTATTTAATTTGAAATTGAGAGACAAACAATTAAATGTAAAAGTTGTTGATATTAACGTATGGCATCTCTTAAGCTAATACCAATTGATACAGGGTGTCTGAAATTCAAGTAGCAGACCAAACTTACATTTTTTAAATCAAACGCCGTTCTTTTTGTGTCACATTCGAACTATGCGTCAAAGTCTTGGGCAATTCGTTACAAATGTTCTATATTGGTTTTCAACTGTTTTTCAGTTAATGGCAACTACAAAAGTTGTAGATATTAACAGCTAGTTTATTTTCAGAGAATACCGACATTTCTATAGATTAGAAATTCAACAAAAGTTACGGCCATTCATATCTACAACTTTGGTATTTAGCATTTTTCCCTCAATTTCAAATTAAATGCAAGAGAGGGGTCGCCAAAGCTCAAGCAATATTGGTTTTGACTAAAAGAACAATTGATAAAACTATAATTTAACTAAACTAATATTTATATCAAATAAGCCTAGAATTGAGAGTATAGTTCGATTATGCAATAAATAGACTGGCGCGCAATTTAAAAAATCTGAGTTTGGTTTGCCACTTGAATTTCAAACACCTTGTGTGAATCGGTGTCATCTGAAAATAAACTGGCCATTAATATCTACAACTTTTGTAGGTATTACATGTTTTTCTCTAAATTTCAAATTAGATGTAAAAGCGGAGTGGCCAAA